AGAAAAATGGCTACCACTCATTGTAACAATTCTAGATTAAATGTAGAAGCACTCTGGCTAGGTATGAAGCAACTTCCTGTGTTGCTATTATGTTTTACATTAGTTTTAGTATTTTGATGGAGAAAACATTACTTTTGTTTTACTTCAAATTATTATATATTCTTTTGTAAATATACTAGGAAGACGATTAACAAGTATAACAAACAGAATGTCTTGTGGAAGACCAAAAGAATAAGTAAGGGAGCAGTCTTTGTTTTATTTTTTTCTTATTGGGAGCGTTTAACAATCACTTGTTACTTCCTGAATGTACTCACACTAAGAAGTTGTGAACGGCCATCTTTCTTTCAGTGGTATCGGGGCTAAGGTACCAGATTAGAGGTTGGGAGACTCAGGTTCTAGTCCTCCTTTAGGTGAAGCCAGCTGGGTGACTTTGCGTCAACCACTCTTTCTCAGCCCTAAACCGGGAGGTTGAAAAACATAGTCTACCAACCCACATTGGATCAACATGGTAGATTTATGGCCCATAACATTAAATGAAGAGAGCTTCAGCCTGCGGTGGATGGGTTTGAGATCATCTTCATCATCTCAAATCCCCAAAATGTCAACTTTATGTCTCACTGAAATCAAGCATCTCTCACTACACTTGTTCATGCCATACCCCTTTCACCGATATTCCATGTCTTGTTCTTTGAAAACCAAAAAAAAAAAAAAGTCCACTCTATAACAAACAGCAATGACCAAAATGCTTCTGTCTGGTCCTTCAGAGAGTTGCCGACCTATTTACTCTAAGCAGCTAAGCGAGGGATAGGAATGAAAAGGGAGATGGGACTTGGAGTGATGATACCGGGCAGGACCATTATCAAACAAAATAGATGTGTGCATGTGAACTAGTTGCCAGAGAAAAAGTGGGCAAAAATAGGCTGGCTTATGGCAGTCTCACTATTAGTCTACACAACACTCCTACCAAATGTTTCAGGTTAACCTGACTTTTCTTCCCAAATAATATTACAGGTAGTCCTCAATGTACAATTAAGCCCAACATTTCTGTTGCTAAGTGAGACATTTGTAAAGTGAATTTTGCCCCATTTTACCACCTTTCTTGCCATAATTGTTAAGTGAATCACTGCAGCTGTTCAGTTAGCGACATGGTTGTTAAGTGAATCTGATTTCCCCACTGACTTTGTCAGAAGATCGCAAAACAGGGCACGGATAGAGGGTGTAGCCGCCATGGTGTTGCTGGGCCGCCTGGGCGATCTGCAGTGGGCTGTGGAGGGGTTGAGTGGCCCTGTGGATGGGTGGGGCGGGGCGAAGCGGGGGGAGGGGTGGAACAGGCGGGATAGGGAGGGGCTGGTTTTTGGGCACTTGGTCGCTAAAAGGTTCGCCATCACTGCACTAGAGAAATACTGTAGACCAGGCATGTCAAACTGCTGGCCCAGAGGCTGGATGCGTCACGCCGAAACCACGCCCACCCCATTGCCGGCAATGGGGAAAAAGTCACGATATGTCACGCGACGTCACATGACATCATGAGTTTGATATGCCTGCTGTAGACATATATCACACAATATTTTGATTTTGCAGCATATTCAATACATCATGATATTCTGACTGGGAATCTAATTAAAACAGAGGTGCATTACATGACCATGAAATGAATACACAGCTATTTCAAAATTCATATCTCAAGTGTACTGATCAATAGTTCCCTGTTAAACTGGAGAGAGATATCAAGCGAAGGGCAACAATCCTGGGTCCTAAACTCTTCAACATTTTTATTTGGAATTTGGATGAAAGGCATTTAAATATATATATCTTTTGTCTCTGAATATATATAACAGTTCATATGAATATGAAGTCTTACCTCAGATCTCCAACATAGTGAGTAGCCCAAGAAAGACGAACTCGAGAACGGCCTACCATGTGTACAAAATTGGTGACACCCAAAATGTTCTCTGCTGTTTCAAAGGCAGAATTTCCCCGACCCAAGATCAATACAGACTGTCCAACAAAATCTTTTGGGTCGATTGACACAGATTCATAACCTTCAACATATTCTGAACCTGCAAAGTTCACCTCGTGAGGAACCCACATTCCTGTGGCTACCAAAAGGACACTAAAATAGAGAAAAAACATTTCGGTTAAGGTCAATCACATTAAATGTCAAAATATTTTACTCCAGAGCTACTAACACACTTCATAAAATCATCAAACTATTATCTGAGCAATAAAGTTGTGCAGCAAAAAGCTGTAATTCACAAAGGAAGAAACCCCCAAACACCAAAATTAGCTTTCAAGTAGTTTAGAGTAGGGTTGCCCTTTTTTACTTAGCAATTTAGTGGGGGGAAAAAGCAAAGATCATACAAAGAAAAAGCAAAGATCATACTACAGCAATTAGCAGAAACAGGTTGAAAAGAGCATTTTCATACTGCAGTATATTTTAATAGAGTGAAAATCTATGTTGAGACTACTAAAAGAGAGTTTGATTAGAAAACAGCTACTATATTTTCATTCTCTACTTCTCAAAATGTATGATATGACCATACTGCAGGTTTTGTTATTACAACAGCAAACAGGGCAAACAAAGCGAGAAAGATGCCAAAACAGGCAACACAACTGATCCAGCATGTTTGGAGTACCTGTAATTAGTAGAATATATATGAGTTTCAGTTACTGGTATAAAAATGGGGAAAAAATTGCGCAGAGCTGTAATACAAGACTTTACAAAATTATAAACTGTACAGAAAAAAGAATATTTTTAAATCATCCTATTTAATAGATTTATATGCTTTCCACTCTCAGTAACTATAAAGTCTCACTATAAAAAAGTTGATAGCTTTTGATAATTAAATCTATGGGAAGAGTGGCACAAAGTATCCTACTGATGAACTCAATGCACAGGATGGATTGTACAGGAGCAGACAGACCTACTGTCATTTGAAGCTAAGCCATGTAATGCTTCATATACCAAAGTATGTCCCACAAGCAATCAGTCACCAGTGCAGCTATTTCAACATGAGGATAATGTGGAATCTCCTAGAAATTGCTCACCATGCCTGTTGCTGCATTTCAGACCAGCTAGACTTTCTGGAATGTCTTAGAATAAATCAACCAGCTCACATCTCACTGACAGCAGATCTGTCATTTCCAGCAATGTGTCTATATAACAAATGGAGGTCTGTAGGGAAAGTTATGTTGGTGAGTGAAGGAATGGAGCGTGGGTGGGGATGTATAGGTACCCAGCTGTATCTTGGGAAGGGTCTCTCTGAAATATGCACTGGCACCTAAGTTATCTTCAGTCCCCAAAAGATGGTTGATGCATACATGATATTAATAATCAAAACCCCCACATTTTTTACTATGGGAGCACCCATGCAATATGACATTTTTCTATGAACAGATGAAGTTCTTCATCACTTACCTGCATTTGTAATTCTGATCATTTTGATCTTTGAGGATGAAGTAATGACCATTCCAAGCCTTGGGATCTTTTTCCAGCATCACAAGTACAATGGATGTGTTATAGTGCACATGGAGGTCTAGTTTGGAAGCAAAATCAGCCAGATAATGCACCATAGTATCAGCATCAGGGAAGAAATCCTGAGAGTAGTGTCGAAAAAGCAGTTGGTTATTGTGGCTAAGCAATGAGTTCCAGTCATGGCGAAGGTTGAATTCACCGTTTGATTTGCCAGTATAACGTTTATTGATGCTGATCAATTTTCGATGACGGGGATACAAGGTGAAAAAGTGCCCTGGTGTATTCCTACGCTCAAAGACAACGTAGTTCCGACCTGCATGCTGAAGGAAATAGGCTATCTGCAAGCCTGAAGGGCCAGCCCCAATAATACAATAGTCATGGTAGAGAAAATCATTAGACCAGGAAAAGGCTACAGACAAGGCAAAGATGAGCAAAAGTTCTTGCACGCACTTCAGAAACGATAGCACCATATTGCTGGTAAGGTGGCTAATTTTGTTCAAGGCACTTCTGAAAACTGGCAAGGCAAGAAAAAGAAAAACATTCACTGAGATTTTTCAAATTTGCTTTAATTGCACTGGACAATGCAAATCATACATTCTATTCCTTGTTTTGGTTTACACATAACATTAGGCCATGGTTTAATTATCAACGTGTTGCAGAATATTTATTCAGTGCATATACTGCTTTTCTACTTGATTACCTGGATTCTTGTGCAACAGTAAGCAATATACCATAGCTGCCAAATTAGAAGGAACAGTTTAGCAAGTTGTGCCAACCCAAACAAGCCACATTCACACAATGTGTGAATCCAGACAATGTCTCTCCACACACACACACACACCCAAATCTCTGAGGTTTAACCACAAGGTTTTGCCCAATTCTATTCCAGGAAGGATAACTAAACATCTCTTTTAAAGACTGTATTGTCTCGAAGACCATTGCCTAACTGGAATACAAGAGAAAGCTGGATTGCTTTGGGCCATTGTGGCAAGCCTAAATATTTGGTCTCTGCAGTCATTCCTCAAGTTCCCGTAAGCACATATACTAGATTTCTGGGAGTTTAAACATGCAAGGGAGTTTATACATGTCAGCATTAAGACAGAAACAAAGAATTCAGACAAAAATAGTCTGAACAGCAAACCTTTTACCAGAAATTAGCAGGTTAACACAAATTACTATTAACATCCCAAATTGCTCAAATAAAATCAGATCATTGGCTTGAACAACTTTTTGCCTACTTGCACACTCTACCAGCTCTCCAAAGTTCTTTGACAAAAACCATTATTCAATAGCAGCATCTTGGAGAGGCAGAATGGGTAGAATAGTGTCCACCACCCTTGAACCTTGTGAGTAAAGAGGACATTATTATTCTTTTAGGAATGAGGATGGGTGAGAAAGGACACAGGAGCTATAGAAGAGGCTGTCCAGGCTCCCTGGTGTCTGAATCCAACTTTGATTTCATCGGAACCTTATTGAATCTTATTTTATTTCTATATGCATATTTATACATACTCGTGCATGAATAGAACAAAAGTTATCAATATAAATTTAAAATTCACTTCCTTAGTACAAAAAAAGCAACACAACACAACAAAAAAGTTTACTGTCTTAATCAAGGAATTCTTAGAAAAGGTTTGGATTCAGTAATTTAGTCAGGAAAAAGTGGTTTTCCATTTCCAAAATCCTGCTCTCCATTTTCATTGTGTGGTCAATAAGAAATAGAAGCAAAATTTTTAATTTGGTGGTAGTTGTGGATGGGAAGCAATTTTTTATTTAATATTCCTATCCTAATCATATCATCAGAGAAAAAACATCCATACATAAGTCCGAGTAATATCTTTGTTAAAAGCTGGAGGAGAACTTAACTCCTGGTAAATATTTGAACACACCACCTTCTTATTTTTCTGTCAACAACATAGAAATGGCTTCTTCCAGGACAGGTGTTTTTTTTTTTTTTTAACAAAAGTTCTAGTTTTTGATCGGGGATTTCCTGCAGGTCTCCCTTCCAAGCCCTAAGCTGGCTGTTTAGGGTTTTTTTCTTTTTTAAGATTGGCCAAGTGCTGCCACCTGCTGTGATAATTTCTTTACTAGGACTAACCCAAAACATCGAAACATGATGTAGAATCCTTCAAGTTCTCTAGAACTCTTCGGGGAGGCTTTGATGAACAGAAAACCCCGTATATCCATTATTTAGCATGGCCTAATTACAGCTGACCCAGCTAATCAGTTTGGATTATTTTCCCCAAAGACCAACAGCTTCTTAGAAGAAAAGGTCCGTAACAAATGAGATTTCAGCATGAACTGAACCTACCTCGACCGCGTTATGGAAATCGTTGTTTATCATGTTTACAAGCCATCTAGATTCTAGATAGAAGGGAGGGACGGAGGGGCTGAAAGGAGCCCAAGGCTGGCCCGCTTGATCAACCCAACACGTGCAAGTCCTCCTCGGATTCCGACAGCATAGAAACTAAGGCAGCACGTCTTGTGAACCTCAATTGCGAAGAGTCACAACATGCAAAGGGAAAAGGAACGCGACCGGCAGCGTGCGAGATGTGCGGACATACCTGGGTTCTCCTTTGCAAGTGGAGCTGCTAGTTAAGGCTCAGACATTAGAGGATACACGCAGCAAGGGGCGCCAGGCCAGCATCGTCGAGGCCATGGCCCTCCGGATCCTCCAAGGCAGAAGTAGCGACACCCGGGACTCCTCCAGCAGCCCGCCTCGCACGCCTACTAAGCAGAGCAGCTCTCCCAGAGTCCAGGCAGTCCGAGGTCCACGTCACGTGACGCCGTGTTCCGAGCAGACGCCAGGCCTTCATCTGCCTCATTGGAGTCGTCGTCTCCCCCCCCCCCCCCCGGGCCATGCGTCATATGGTCCCGTGGAAATGGCGAGCTTCGTTCTGTTTGAAAAAAGCAGGCGCCAAAATGTCCGTCTCTGAGACTCCAAGGGGTAGGAGTGTGGAAAGCTTCCTTCTAGATCAGTGTTTCTCAACCTTGACAATTTTAAGGCATGTGGACTTCAACTCCCAGAATTCCACAGCCAGCAATTTTCCTTCCTAGCAGGCTTAAGGAGAGCCCTATCTATAATACACCACCATCTCTGTCTTTATTTTCTGAGATATTGGTTGCTACTTTGCTATTTTTCTAGCATCCAAATAGCAAAGTAGCAACCAATATTTTGTTGTATATAAGCTTTCAAATGGAAGGCATTAATCACAAAATTATTCAAATTTATACCGCAGATGTTGAATTATTATGATAATGCCTTAAAAATAATTGCTCTGAAATCTTATGAATGGTAAATGATGAGGGACAACATTTTTGGTAGCATTCGTGCCAAAATAATTTCAAGAGAAATAATACTTAACTCTTTATGATGCCTTTCTTCAATGGGATAAATTACTTCCATTGGAGCAAGTGTGGATGTGTGTGTGTATACTTATACACATCAAGATGGATCGACAACATCATCAATTATTGCGGGCCCAATTGGCAAAAGAAAGCTCAGGGCCATATTGGTTGGAAACAGGTGGATGAAAAAGTACTGGAAACTTTGATTGCAACGAGTTAGTTTCAGCCCAGCTGGCATTTATTTCTGAGAACTGCTTGGACAAATACTAGCAGTCTTGAAACACTGGCCATCCTTATGCATCTAGAAATAACTCATAGCTCTTCTGAGGATATTCCGTTAATTTGCTTGACCCCATCTATCCATACCTATTAACTTCCATTCTCTTAACCACAACAAAATATTTTCTCTTTAATCCTCTTGCATCCAAAGCATGTTAGTTTCTTCTTGATGATCATCATCTCAATAAACCGTTTAACCTTCATTTGATGTAGAAGTCAACAGATTGCTCTTGTAGTCCATGGTACAGATTGCTCTTGTAGTCCATGGTACTTTTAGGAACTATGTTCAAATCTTGAAGTCTGAGCATCTCCTTTCAGAATAATTTGAGGCTTGTGTCAAACCTGAGTGCTGGCTCACATACCATACTTATAATGTGGTTTATATTTGGTTTAATATATGTGAACCTATTGGGATTATTCAACAAATGCTTATTTAAAAATGTTTAGTTAGTAATATAAAATAAAAATTGCAACACAGATAAGGAACAAATGCTGCAGTCTACCCGTGCAAAAGCAAAATGCAAACCTTTTCCTAAATTCTACTATTTTAGACTTTTAAAAAATGTCTGTTTCTCCAGTGAAAGGATCTTTCATTTCTATATACAAACGAAGCATGTTTTCATGCATTACAGTAGTGAGACTGCATGCACAAAGATGGACATTATTCACAATGAAAGAATGGTTGGTGAAAGTGATGGAACTTGCTGATGGCTAAATACTTACATGATCAGAGAAAAGACACATCTACATTTATTGCTGATTGGAATCCTTACAGACTTTTTATATGAAACCAAAAAATATATGAATTTATGATTTTGATGTTGAGAAAAATTATAGAAACTATGTTGTAACCAGGGAATGAGAAGTAAACTTATAATTTTACTTGTTTATACTCAACTACTGCAAAGATTGAAAGCTACTTCTTTGTGTTCTGTTTTTCTTTTACTTTACCTTTCTTGCACTTTTAGCTTCTCTTTTCTTTTTATCTTACATTACTTTTTTATCTTTAAAAAAAAGACTAGTCACTCTTTCTATATCCCCCATTGAGACAAAAATGTCACCATGAGTTTAATGTATTCAGCTTTTATCCTTCCATGACACACACACACACACACACACACACACACACACACACACACACACACACGCATATGTATTAATCAATTAGAATAGAGCTGGAAGAAACCTTGCAGATATTCTAGCCCAACCCCCAGCTCAAGCAGGAGACCCTATACTATTTCAGACAAGTGTCGTCATCATCATCATCATCATCATTTTAGCCATTGTGTAAACACTGGAGGATGAAGACCTCTTCCACCTGTTTCCAACCAATATGGCCCTGAGCTTTCTTTTGCCAATTGGGCCCGCAATAATTGATGATGTTGTCGATCCATCTTGATGTGTATAAGTATACACACACACATCCACACTTGCTCCAATGGAAGTAATTTATCCCATTGAAGAAAGGCATCATAAAGAGTTAAGTATTATTTCTCTTGAAATTATTTTGGCAGGAATGCTACCAAAAATGTTGTCCCTCATCATTTACCATTCATAAGATTTCAGAGCAATTATTTTTAAGGCATTATCATAATAATTCAACATCTGCGGTATAAATTTGAATAATTTTGGGAAACATAATATATTATTTTGTTGTATATAAGCTTTCAAATGGAAGGCATTAATCACAAACTTAATTTAACTGCAAATAATTTTTCCCAAGATGTATTAGATGTATTACTAAATCCATCAATACTTCCATGTAGTAATAAGACAAAAGAACACATTTATCAAGATATTATTTTTATTTCTTAAGGTCTAGCCAAACAAGTTGCAGATTCAGCTCTGATCCATCCTTGAAGAATAAAAGTCGAATGACC